TCAGGGGCCCGAAACCTTATCCAGAAATTGACAAATACCCCAATTAATAATAATCCACAAATGAATGGAGGTCCAAATCGGTCTTCATATGGTCCAGATGATCGTTTCCGAATCATGTAGACTCGCCAAAGATAATTTATAAGTGCATACATCATAACCATTGTTGCAATGAACAGAAATGTTCCAGCCACAATGTTTGATGCGTCATCGTTGCCAAAGTTTAATAATCCAATGGCAAATCCATTTACAATAATAGTGAAATGTAACCACGATAGGAAAGTCCTCTCGTTAGCAAAACATACTTTGGGCTCAACTCGCACGGGTACAGCGACACGTCTTCCGTTATAATAACGTTGAATAGCTCCCGCAGAAGTAGATTCAAAAATAGACTCATCTTCTAATACATTTGTAGGCGGTGTTGTAAATAACCACTTGCTATTTTCTTGATTTTCTTGAATCAAACGAGTTTCCTCATTAATTTCATCGTCATCATAATCCAAATTCCTTTCATCAATTTGAACAGTGATACTTTCATCTTGTCCAGAACTCCCGGAACTCATTGGGTCGTTATTTTCATTAGACGGTGTATCAAGACTACCTAGGGGTCGTTGAAGACCGTAGTTACCTTGCGGTGGTTTATGAATGTCTACATTCATTTGTGGAAACCAATATGGTAAAAGATGAATCCGATGATCTTCCATAAGAGTCGAAACACCATGAATGAACTTTGAAAATTTAGGAACGGCTTCAACCTTAACATACATGTATTGAGTATAAAGAAAATAAATATTGAGAATTATAAATCAAAAAGAAAAAAAATAAAGTCACTTAAGATAATTAAGTAAACAAACCAGATGACTGTGTACTAATTCTTGTACCCATTCTGGCGGTTCTTGTCCAAACTGAGTTTGTAATTTGACTTCCAAAACTGCATAAGGAAATCTCTCAATATCTTTATCTGGTAGTTGAGAAAACGGATAATCTATTCCAATATCCATTCTTCGCCAATTTTCACCACAGCGGGTGATATTTTCATAGTTATCTTCGCGAATCATTGATAGTTCAGTGTCAAGAGATATACGAACTCGAGCATCCCCAGGTAATTGAAATGCAGTTCTATTATAAAAGGTACGTAACACTAATAGATAGAAAAAATTAACATAACATATATCAACAATATATCAATAAACATTTACAATTTATTTATCAGTAACACTAACCTGGTTTTAACCTTTTGGAAATAACACGGTATTGTATTTCACTAGCCAATCGTTCCAAATCTTCAATTTCTTTCTCACTTTTTCCTTTATCTCGCAACTTTTTAAAATCGTCAGTCATGATATATTTACCACAAAGATACTTGTTGACATTTTTCTCTTTTATTTGAAAACGTTCTTTGACAGATTTTTCACCGGTCCAATCTTCACGATGAGTTTTACGTTCGACAAAGATTTCACTTACATCCATTCCACCGTACCATCGTAATCGAATGGCCTCGGCACCTTCAGTCTTTTCCAATCGACCAAGATAAAGCTCAAAATCATTATTATCGTAGTATATAGAAGAGATTGCAGAATCCGATTGATCAAATTGTTTTTGAGGATTGAAAACTAGGACCGGAAGATGCTTCAATATGAGAAGTTTAAGTTCAGTAATATTATCCGGATGGACCCAATATTTTGTAGTGTTGCGGACAAAATTTTGTTGCTGGCCACCAGAAGAGGAATTGCCTTTGACAGGATTACCACGAGTACGAACAACGTCATAAAGACGCG